ATAATTTTAGCTCTAAAAAGTTTGTCGCGAGTGTAAAGAATACGGTGGTTTATTTTGAAATGAAACATTGAGAGTTTTATGTTTTTGGTGACTTTAAAAGGGAGAATGTATAATACCGCGATGCTCCGATCAGTAAAGCCGGCCTTAATTAGACGAGCTTGGGATGTAGGTTTTTGCAACGTTTTATAGAGATAAAGTGAGCGTGCTTGCTGACAAGTCCAAAATGAAAAGTTTAAAGGATCTGTCGACTGTCCTGTGCTAACTGACTCGTTTTCAAGGTCGCGGTTAAAGGCTTCTTTCTAGTACTTTGGAATGGCGTTGCGCAACCCAAAATAACGTACAAAGTTTGTTTTTATTTTATACTTCTTCCTAAATTCAGGAAGGAACAAGAAATTTCCTTCTTCGTCCAGAATATCTGATAGGGTCTTTACTACGGCATTATACCATTGTTGATAAAAAAATGGATTTTCCGCCGATTGTGATAAAATGATTTTTCACTGCCTATGTTTTGTGTAGTTTGAGATTATTTAAACTCAAAACAAAAGGCCAAACAATGTAAATAGAAAATCTCACCGCAAAGTTACAAACCTGAAATTAAAATTCTTGCTAATCCTGGGTCGGCTTAATGGGGCTTTGAACTACCCAACCCTGTTGATTAGGGAACCTGGATGCCAGTCTAACTCGTGGAAATCACAGTAAAACTGTACAGCGGTAATACGCACTAAAAACCAGCTGAAACCAATACTTTTGTAGTATAACCCATTAGCTCCCATTGGGTATTTGAAAAATAAATAATTTTAAAAACTTGCGTTGCTGAAGTCATTGTTTACATTTTTGCCTCATGAATTAAATTGGCATACGACTTTGCTTTGAGAAGGCATCGTGCTAGGAACGAATTCACTTCAAACAGTTAAACAGCTTGTGAAACTTAGTGTATGATGAAAGTTTTAGCTTTGCAATTTGGGTGTAATAAAACTACATTGAGGGACATATTGGCACTCAAAAACTCTCAAATTTCCGCGGGGCAAATCGCTAATGAGTCCATTCGTTCCCTGTAAAATTTTGAGTTTTGTAGTAAACCTGCGTCGCACAAAAAGTACTCGATACATCAAGCTTAAATTCCTAAGCAGAGCTAATCGTGCTGTGCCCTTTCAATATTTAGAACTGATATTTTTTGTAGCTCGATCATCTGCTAATGAGGCAAATATTGTAAACAAAGATTCCTCTATTGACGGTTTTCTTATACCTAAGGGTTATGCAATGTATGCATTTTGGAAGGATAACTAGGTTATTACAGTAAATACAGAATGTTGAAATAAAAGACATGTCTTAGTAATGTTGTGTGACACGTTGTCAATTATTTTAATATACCACTGTGGCGTTGCCACAGTGAAGTTGCTAAGAATGTGACGCAAACCTTTGTGCGATAAAGAAGAGTTGCAACCTTCCCAAGATGCTCTGTCTAACTAATTTGTGATCATAAAATGAAACTGTGAATGCCTTTTCGTATGGATATTAAATCACAAGCTATGAAGGTTGAGTTACATTCTGAATACTCCAAACTTGTGCGCTTGTCTGCGGGGGAATGAAGATAGGGCTGCTCGTAAACTCTGACCCAGGACCTGCAGGGAAAAAAACCCTACGCTGTGAGTCAACGAGAAGATGAACGACCTGGACACAAGTGTACACCGCTACGTTACCTTTCTCGTGTCTTGAGGCAGAATAATGCCGTCATCCCATAGACGAGCAGTTCCATAGTAGCCGCGTGATTCCTTCTCAAACCTTATTCAACAACAAAAGAAACAATTTATGTTGCGACGCAAAAAATTGTCTTAAAGTCTAATGTCACCCTAGAATGATAGTTCCCTGAGGTAGAAAGACATCGAGGAAATACTAATTAGGCAAAGAAAAACAAGGATGGCTTAGATAATGATTGGGTAAAATTGAAGCAACCTACGAAAGCCGAAGTTCAAGGTTTTCATCTGTTGCATCGGCGAACTTGGAAAACATGAAGTCGCTCTTATAACTTCGCCCAATTTTTATTTCTCGTTTTATTCGTTCTAGGAAAAGGCCACACTGTATTACAACAGACCAGTGAATTCTAACGAAGAAGATGCGCCCCATCAATGACAGTTCTGTTACATTAAATACGCTCTGAAGTTCTCTGCGCAAATTGCCACATCAAGCTTGATAACTCTTACTTCTTTACAAACTTGTCCTTCAATGTCTGGCGTTTCTCTTCTTCCATTTCATGACCATCTACTTCCTGCTACAGAAGAATTACAATCAGAACAATAACAAGAGTAAGACTGCCCCGTGTCATTATACATAACTTCAAACCCAATGTCGCACAGCGATAAACAGAGCGAGAACTGGTACGAGATTACGTGATGCATTGATTTTCGTGAGAGAGGATACGTCAGGGAAATTATATGAACAAGTAACCTTCAAGTCTAGAACCTTTTCTCATTTAAACTGATGGCGTCAATGGACTACAAGTACCAGAACCCTTTTCGATTTTTTTCTCACGCTAATTGGCGCAATTGTTATTTATATCTCAGTGTGGTTTCAAAATTTGAATACTAAAGGAGAAACGAAATGACTTCTGGTAGTTGTGGTCAAATAACGACATCGAGCAAGTTAATAGCCTTAGTAGAAAAAAAAAATATATTTTTTTACATGTATCGCTTACCTCAGCACAACACATAGATACCATGTCGTCAACTGTATCCATGGCAACCCGAGCAGTGGGCCAAGTGAATAGAAAATGAGGGTCAAATGAGCGTCCACACTAGAAAAAAAACACGACAACGAGAAGTGTTGTTAATAGAAGAGGTAATATGCAACGATAAGTTAGAGCGACATTCGATTCACCATGAACTTAAAATATGGTTTCCTATGAATTTGTTTCCCTGTTCAATTTCTATGTTTGCCTCTCCATATGGTAGAAAATGCATCGTTCAGTGTACCAATCAAAACCGGGGAAATTTCCGTGACGTCAGAAGAACCGCGTTTTCCTTGTAAGCGTCCACTCGACCAATCAAAACCCACGCGCGTTTGTATTCTTTAGTTAAGGTGGTATGGTACCCTAAAATGGACCAAAAATTTTGTTTAAATATGGTGAAGAAAGATCAATTGTGTGCTATTGCACTCAAGAAGAGAAATTAAATTTTGAAAGTTTTACTCAAAATGGTTGATATGGAAACCAGCCACAGCCAGCCAGTTTTACCGTATTGACGCCAACACTTCCTGCACTTTTACAAAACAAGATTTGACTGTCAAATAAACATATCGTGTAAGTTTCTGTTCTGTGCAATGAACCCAAGTTTTGACAGTTAACTCTTATTTTCAGTGCTTTTTACAGGCTTTATTTGGAAATAACCTTATTTTATACAACACCCAGTGGACAAATCATCTCATGTCACGTGACAGAGTTAAAATGTTACGATTTTTTGGTTTATATCATCACCACACCATTGGTCTTTGATTAGCCTAAGTTTCAGGAATTCTACTTAATAACCTTGCAAAGCAGAAATGTTGGCGCGAAGTCAGTCGATACAAAAGTAAACATTTGAGAAAAATGCACTTTAAGTTTCTTACACAAAGTATTAAGCATTTAACAAGCCACAAATAGCGGGGGTGGGGGCTGCAGATTGGATCTCGGGAGAGGGGGTGCAATGGTTGTTCTATTTCGTAAAAAGTTACCGGTCAAAAACGTCGTCATTAGTGTGTTTATATAATAAACAGAATATTACATGCCAGCTTGTGGATACGAATTTTATCTTCACGTGTTCAACTCAATATCTCACAAGTAAGCAAAGCAAACAAGTGAGATATCGAGTTGAACACTCGAAGATAAAATTCGTATCCACGCGCGGGCATGTAATATCCTCTATTTAACTTGATGGAAAATAGTAAAATAATAGTCTACAAAGTTGAACACAAATTACGTCGTGAAATAAAGCTTCTAGTGCACTTATTTGTCAATAACAAAGATCTGTTTCACTGAAACGTAAAGAAACCGTGGCTTTATGAATAATCTTACCATTGTGTAACTGCTTGGTCCATAGCTGCCCTTCATAATTACAGTAATCTTTGGGACCTGTCGAAAATCAATTGCCTAATTTATGTAGAACCAGTTAGTAAGACTTGAAGAAACAGGGCATCCACGCAGTTGACCTTCAATAACTTCACTGGTGTGTTCTTCAAAAGTAGAACTGATTTAAGGCTACTGATTCTTCAGGAAACGCTACGGGATTCCTCTGCGGCTAAGAGCCGAAGATTACGACCAAAACGTAACGGATTTCTTCTTATTTCGAGCGCTTCGGATGTTCCCATAGAGGAAAGAGCAACGTATCAAAGAAAGTAGCAATGTGAAGGCGATTTAAATTTCTATTATAACTTAGTATAATTTCAGAGCTGAACAAAGAGTTTCCAGCAATCTGATTGGTTGAGCGATTCCTTATATGACGTTATATTCACCGCGCCAGTCGGTTTATATAACATTTTCGAGGCCTGGCTACTAAGCTCGCCACCTTTGCTATCTCGACAAGTAAACATGGCGGGCAGTTGCTGAATGAATTTTTCATTTATTCGGAAGACATCACTGTAAGTCCAGGATATTTGAAAGGATGGAGAATTTTCAAAATGACTGCTGGCGCACTTGGACCAAAAATCTTTTCAAGAACTCCTGCTCAAGGCATTTAAGAATCGTAAACGCAGTGGTAACGTTGATCGCCAGCAGGTTAGATCGATTGACCGAAATCTGTTTTTCTCAAAACTAAAGCTACTCATTTTGAGACGATGGTGACAACTGTGAATGAATTCAGCAGCGATAACACATAGGTAACAGATGAATTTATTTTTCGTAGTGTTTCGCTTGTCTGTTTTACTGCCGAACTCGATGAGTAAACTGATTCACAATCGATGTACATGGAAACTTATTATTAAAACTATACGGCTACATACGTGTATGAACACGAACAATGGCGTCTGTGTTTTTATGTTTTAGTCCGTTATTCTCTGTTGTTCAGCTCTGAAATTATACTGAAACAATTATTCGCCTCAGGCTCAGTGAATATTGTCGAATAATCCCCTCGACTTCGTCTCGAGGATTATTCGACAATATTCACTGAGCCTGAGGCGAATAATTGTTAAATAGCTGGCAAAGCCTCGGTATACATAAGGGTACATCATAATCCGATGATGCGCGCTTATAGCATGAGCCAAGTTAACCTTGCTTCGCCAGGGAAATTTATCACTTTCTATTGGGAATATAAGTTAACAATTGATTCAAGCTTTAAGCTGTGCATCATCGCGTTATATGATGCACTGTGGAAGTTTGGAGAGCACTGAAGAAACTAGAGTTGCTTTCGGCTGCCCCTTAATCAACTCTTACACTAAACCTCCTTTTGTGTTCACCCAGCTCTTAATGGGCGTAATAATTTGACGATGCACGCAAACGCATGAACCAATAGTCCATTTCCGAGTTGCCTTTTGCCTCGGCGTCAAAACAAGTCTTCGTTCGACAACATTCCTATGGAAATGTGTTTCCCCTACAAGTTCATTTTCGTGAAAATCAAACTCATTTTCACAAGAAAGGTTTTGCACGAGTACTCGTTCTGAAACAGAGGCACAAGGTACCTCGGACATGGCCTATTGTTAATTCGCTTGCCCTGTGTTATGTTCGTCGTTCATTCCTCTATCTGAAAGCAAGGCACACTAGGCTATATATTTGCCTTTTGACGAGATCATAGATGTTGTAAAAACTTTCATCACTTTCTGACTTACCCGTACCTTCGACTACAATCAATCTTCATTTGATATTATATTGCAACACAATCTAATACATTTTAGTATGCATCAAATGATTCTTGAAGTCCTTTCCACGTGCATGCCGATATCTGCAATGCCTATTTTTCCTCATGAGAATGTTATTTTTCGCAACTGATTTTCTCACTATGTCAAATTGATATGACCTCCAAACGTAATTATTTTGCCGCTATGATTGTATAATCTTTCCATTCCTTTGGATTACTGTTGGAGTTTGTCGGTACTCTGGATGAAGCACTGGTTACAAAATTAGCCGTTAATTATTCGTTCCCTCAATTTGTGACGCGTATTTTGAATAAACTAATATCATACCTGAGCACAGGCGACCGCTGACATCATTTTTGCTTGATCTTTAATCAAGCAGGCGTTTGCCTCTACTGATAAGTTGGACGGGGCCTGAGGTAAAGTGTTTTGAAGGAAAATAAGAGGAATGTTCCGCTGACAACACAACTCCACAAAATGAGCGCCCTGCAATAAAACACACGTGATGAGTAGAGTGGTCTAGTAATATATCAAACACGAAAGACCATGTTTGACCACATTTCCAAACAACGAGGAGAGAGTCGAAAATAAGACGCACAGCGGAGTATTTTTCACGAACTTCGAGGTGTTCGGAAATGTGGTCAAACACTGTCTTGACTGTTTGATATATCTTTTCTCAAACTCATTAATAATTCATCGAGTTAAAACAAAGAAAATCACAACCGTGAAGGAGGTTTAGATACCCGGTCTTAATTAGCATAGATTTTGACGATTTTACTTCTCCTTTTACTTCTTAGTTTTTGTTTCGATTGAGAAGATATATCAAAACTCGAGTCAGTGGTTTCATCGGCTATCCAATTACCTCGAATTTCGTCAAAAATACTCCGCTGCGCGTCGTATTTTCAACTCTCTTCTCGGTGTTTGGATATCCCGATGAAACACTGTCTCTCTTGTTTGATATGTTACATCAGTCGAAACTAAAACTAAGGAGAAAACGGCGAAATAAAATTTCGATTATTTTAAGCTTAAATTATCTCATCAACTCTTCATTCTGTTACAAACAAGTGTTTTACTCGAACTCGCCGACGCAGCAAAACTACTTTTGAAGCTAAATTCCCTTCGACTGACTACGATGCTATTCTCTTTCATGCCAAGCTTTGTCAGTCGCTATATTTCCCATTTAATGCAACTTCTGTCAATTACTTACTGAGTTGTTGATTTTCTTAACTCTCACCTGCTTATTTGGCAATGGGTTGGTATCTTAAGGAGAAATTAATATTTCATCGCCCTTTCCCAGGAATGAAGAGCTTGGAAGGTAATTTCTTTGAAATAGTCGGCCGAAAAAAATCGAACACTGAACTACTTACATGGAGTATTTTACCAAAAGTTATCTTTAAATTTTTCAAGTTTAGTCTTGCATCAAAAAAAAAAATCTGTAATCAGCTTAGGTCCCGTTCACACTACGCTAGGGGAATTTGAAAACGGAGGTTTCACTCTGAAAAGGAATCAAATGTTTTCCGTCCACAGCACGCCGAAGGAATTTGAAAACGCA